GAGGGGGTGGTGAGGCCGGAGACAGCTTCTGAGAAACCCACCCAGAGGCAGGAGCAGCCCAGATGGCCTACAGCTAGGAGAAGGGTCCCTGCTCAACTCTGGTGACTCCTCCCCTCTCTGCCCCGCCACCCCACTCCTCCCCAGGCTGGGGCCCAGCGGCTCCTCTGAAGCCAGATGGGAGCTTTGATGGGGGTGAAGGAGGCGGGCCCCTAAACTGAAGCCCCACCCAGCAACACCCATACAAACAAGCAGGCCAGGGGGAAAGGAGGCTTATGGAGGCCAACTGCCACCTAAGGTCCTTGGGCCTTAGCACTCCCACCCCCCACTGGAATTCCCTTCCCAGCAGTAACTCGGAGACTGCTACAGCTTGGAAACCTGAGCCTGCCTTCACCAGGACTGGTGGGAGGGTAGGAAGTGCAGGCTAGGCTTGCGGCAATAAATTTTCCCCAGTACCCGTGCACTTTCTCCCCCTCCTCAAGGCCTTTGTTCAGACACCACTTCTTCTGAAAGGCTTGCTCTGACCACCCCCTGTACTTGCTAGCTAACCCCTCACCTGCTTATCACCTGGTGGTGGCGTTGTTAAAGTTTCCCATTAAGTTGGTTTCCGAATCGTAGCAACCTGATGTACAACAGAGGGAACCACTGCCCAGGTCTGCACCCTCCTCTCAATTGTTCTTCTGTTTGAGCCCACTGTTGTAGCCACTGCGTCCATCCGTCTGGCTGAGGGTCTTCCTCGTTGTCGCTGCCCCTCTACTGAACTGAGCATGATGTCCGTCTCCAGCGAGTGCTCTCTCGGGACAGCCTGTGTGTCCAAAGTATGTGAGATGAGCTCTTGCCGCTCTTGCAACCAAGGAGCCTTCTGGCTGTAAAATGGACAGATTGTGGTTTCTTTTGGCAGTCCACGGTACTTTCAATATTTTTCTCCAGCACCACCATTAAAATGTATCGATTCTTCTGTGACCTTGCTTAGTCAACGTCCAACTTTCATATGCATTGAAAGTGCCATGGCTGGGGTCAGGTGCACCCTACGTCTTCAGAGTAACGTCTTCGCTCAGCAAGACTCTGAAAGAGGTCTTGTGCAGCAGATTTACCTCATACGATGAGTCTTCTGATTGCTAGACTGCTGCTTCCTGGAGCACTAGTAGTATGCCATGTATGCATGCCTCTGTCTCCTATTTGAATGTGAGCGCTTTGAGGGTCAAACCGTATCTGACCTGTTCACCACGCTACCACTAGCAGCACACATCGCACTGGCCGTGGTCCCACCTCAGGGCCTTTGCACCTGCTGGTTCCTTTTGTCTCGGATGCACTTCCTTTGGAAATCCACATGGCACCTCTCTCCAACTTCAAGTCTACATTCAGAGATCATGTGCTGAGGGAGTCCTCGGGCCATGCTGCCTACGCATTTCAGGGTCATCTTTCCCCTTTCTCGTCACTTGCCCTTCTTAACCATCTAAGCATCCGTTGTCTTTGGAGTTGATTTTCTTTCTCTCCTTTCGATCTCAGAGCCATCCTTCCAGGGGTCAGCCAGCCTCCGGGGCTCCAGAACTCTGGATCCCATGAGAATTTGGCACACCGCTCTGCAGTTGTCCCCCTTTTGATCTGGATGCTTCTGGAGAATTTGCAGTGTAGCCATTTACTTGGTCTGGCTCTTTTTAACCGTAGCCTTTGTGACCGTGGGTGGGCCACGCCTATCGGGTGTAGAATCTTTCCTCCACACGCTTGGTGAATAGTAGCCAAGCATCATGCTGTTGGCTGGTCTCCTGGCAAAGGAGACCGCTGTTTATGGAGGCAATTAGCCATACAGTCCATATCATCCTCCACCTATTCCTGCCTCTCCTTGCTCCTCTAAGGCTCCAGGCAAACCAAGACCAGTTGTCCTGCCTTGCAAGCTTGTAAGACTCCAGGCACTTCACGATAAACT